TTTTTCCCCTCTCATCTGGCCAGCGGGCTCCCCACCCGCCGCTTTAGCGAGCCTACTTTTCGACCCTCCGGAGCCCCAAATCATTGGAAAAACACAGTGTTTCGCGAGTAGTATCTTCTTTCTTCTGACTCTTTCTCTTCTACTCTTCTTTCTTCTAATCTTTCTCTTCTCTCTGCCTCTTCCCTGCTCTGCTTTTCATCTGTTCATATTGTCGGAAGTTTGACTTCTAAACTTCCTTCGATTAATATATATATATATAGTATATATATATATACTATATACGATATGTGTTATTGATCCGAATCCTCATTGTTTATTCACAGCGTTTTTTGCAATGCTGCAGCTTGTCATGGCCGGCTCCGTCCTCATTGGACCAGTAAGATCCAGAGGCGGAGATGTCGCTCCAGCTTCGGGCCGCGGGTTCGGGAATTTTGGCGCAGATTGCTTGGGCATAACCACCTGAGCTGAGCTGATGAAAGAAGGGTGACCCAATAGCCATGTGGGTCCCCAAAATGGTTGGCTTATAATGGAAAATGGATGATTTAGGGGTATCCCATGGTATCCCCATTTTCGGACACCTCCATTTGTAGCTGGGAGCTAAAGTGACGAAAGGCGAGGAAAATCAGCAGAGAATTTCTCAGGGGAACACGCATCTTACCACCTTTTTAGGTTCTCACAGCACTCATGGAAGATATGAAAGCTGGGAACTGGCCTGGAGAGTTCGATTTCTGGCTTGCAACGTGCGCAACAGTCCGAATACTCCCTATACTGAAGTATACTGGACAGTACTGGCTGTTCAATCAATGGCAACCCTTGCAGCCCCAGCCACCTTTTGCGTAGCAAGTTTCGCCTGACCTCCAGACCTCCTTGCAGTGATGCTTGACGGTCCAAGTATGTCTCTTCTCAGTGAAGTCATCCATGTAGCAGTTGCAGCCCAACACTTTTTGTCCTGGCGATTTTCGGGCATGAAACATAATGAAATCAGCCACGGAATCTGGAATGCTGCCCAAATGGCCCAACGCCCAAACTGCGACCCAAGTTCTTATTAGATTTTTGAATAGCTCATGGCCACTGGCCGCACGAATTTGAATAGCACTCGGTTGTGTGTTGTCTCGAGTGGCACTGCCAAAATGACGTCCTGAGTCACAAGAGGCTGACACGCTGCTTGGCAAGGTGCGTCTGCGGCGGGAGCGTCTGCGGCGGGAACGTCTACGTCGGGAGCGTCTGCGGCGGGAGCGTCTTCTGCGTCGGCGACGGCGACGACGACGCCAACCCTGCGACTCAGAAGCACTTGACTCGCCTTAGTTTCAGTCGTCCAAATCTATTTCGATTACACGCGTTCCGGCATCCACTGTTTTTATGTGCTTTACACTTTCATTTTCCTGTGATCTTTCATGACAACAACTGTCAAAGCGCGCCCTCAAAAGCAATCCGACAATCCCTCGGTCTGGCACCTTCTTCCAACAGCGACATGGAGTGATTGTGTGAATCCATTGGTACATCCCCATCTTCCGAATCCTCATCGGACTCGTCATGCTTCGGGTCTTTCAGGCCGGTGTCATCATCGTCATCCTGAAAGAGGGTGGGTTACCTCAATCTTCATGTGTGTAAATACGTACAGTAAACATCATTGACCCCAATTCGCGTGATAACATTCACCACACTATGGTACCTCCGATCCACAGCCCCAAACTCGCATTGCAACTGGTACTAAAAGTAATTAGGCAAAAAAGTCAGTCTCAAGCACCTACCTAACACAACGCTGCAGCGGTCCTTCAATTCCTCTGTCTCCTCCGCGTCGACACCTTCCGTCGCATCGTCGACACCTTCCGTCGCATCGTCCGTTTCCACATCAAGATCTTCTTCTTCCTCCTCTTCACGAGCTTGCCCCACTGCATCCAAACTCATCTCACGATCTCCCTCATCATCCACGCTGTTCAAGCTTGCATTCTCTCCCATCTGCAACCAACTGAAACTAGGTCCACCGCTGGTCTTGACAGAATAAGAACTTGCAAATCGCAGCTCCATGCAGCGTGTCTTTGCACGAACGGAAATGCTCTTTCCTGTGCTACCGACCACATCCATGGTACCATAAGCCCAACACGTAGCGCCATCCGTTTTGGAACCCGAACATATCCCGCTCTCCGCAATGCAGGTGCAGCTGGTAACTCGGTAGCGACGCCGGCAGTTCTCACTGGCTGTGGAGCTGGATGTGCCACTGGTACGGTCGTGCATGTTCAGGGGATAGTTGAGGGCCTCAACAGGTTGAGGGAACCAGCAGTGAGGATTTGATAAGTTGAACCAGCAGCAACTTTCCAAAAATATCCAAAATTACTTCACTTCGAGTTATCCCCACCATGACATTTATACGTTTTGTTACTGGCAAATCCTCTGGCATTCTATCTGACATATCTTCTGGCATTTTATCTGGCATATCTTCTGCAATATGTTCTGGCATATCTTCTGGCACTCTATCTGGCATATCTTCTGACATATCTTCTGACATTCTATCTGGCATTATATCTGGCAAATCTTCTGGCGTTCTATCTGGCAAACATTCTGGTACTTTATCTGGCATACCTTCTGGCATTCTATCTGACATTCTATCTGGCATACCTTCTGGCATTCTATCTGGCATATCTTCTGGCATTTTATCTGGCATATCTTCTGGCTTCTATCTGACAATCTATCTGGCGTTCTATCTGGCATATCTTCTGGCATTCTATCTGGCCGTTGAGGTCCAGCGGTGCCCACTGAGCTCGTAAGGTCCCAGGTTGAGGCCCAACGGTGCCCACTGAGCTCGGAAGGTCCCAGGTTGAGGTCCAGCGGTGCCCACTGAGCTCCGAAGGTACCCATTGAGGTCCAGCGGTGCCCAGTGCGCTCAGACCCTTGCGGTTGAGGTCCAGCCGTGCCCACTCAGATCGGAAGCCGGCAGTTGAGGTCCAGCAGTGCCCACTGCGCGCGGAAGTTGGCGAAGAGATTGGCGAAGAGTTGGCAAGGCCGAAGCCAGCAGTTGAGGTCCAGCAGTGCCCACTGCGCGCGGAAGTTGGCGAAGAGCTTGGCGACAAGTTGGCAAGGCGGAAGTGGACGTGGAAGTTGATGCAGACATGGTCGAGGCGAAACTGGAGGAGGAGCAAGAGGAGGAGGCGGAGGAGGAGGAGGAGAAGGAGGATGAGGAGAACAGCTCTGATAAAATCTAACAACCCTCACCTGGCAGGTGGGGAATGACTTCACATCTTCGAATCAACAAGGTCCCCAGCCTCGAAATCAAAGACCAGTTCTCCACGTGGTGTAGCCGCCACGGTTCCCTCACGGTTGTAGGTATTGCGGCGACGCGAATACTGAGACACCGTGACTTGGCTGCCGTGGTTCACGGTGAGTTTGTAGTTGTGCGTGGGAACTGCTGTGATGTGCTTGATGGAGTACTTGTAGTTCTTGTTGGGGTTCAAACCCTGCACCACAGTAGTTGCAATACCTGGTGAGTCTCGGACAAAGCCAGCATTGTGCTGCATATACGACCAACCCAGGAGTTTGATGGTCGACATGTTCCCGAACGGCTCGATGTAGGTGGTGCCTGGATTCTTGGAACCTGTTGAATTGGAGGTCCAGCTGCGAGTTCCACCCCAGTTCACAATTGCAGCAGCCCGAGTGAAAGAGGGCGAAGTTCCCTCTTTTTGGGTCAAGAACTGCTTGCGAAGGGTGGTCTTCCAGCAGTTCTCGGGGCTTGCCACCTGGCAACCTCGGTGGCAGTGTCACTGAGAAATGGTTGGTACACTGACTGGACGGTGAACAGGGGACCAAGATGTCTGAAAACTTCTTCGAAACGGTCCAAATCTTTCAGAACCCACCACCACTATTTAGTCAATGTCGCCCTCTTTTTCCATTTCAACCCTCTTGGTACCAGGCCCTCCCCAATCATTAGTCGACTCAAGCAGCTGATGTTGCGAGACATCGCCTTGAGTTCTCCTTCCATCCCAAACTCTCGCACCAGGCTGTCACAACCTTCATAGAGTCGACATGTGGTGGCGCCGTGGGAGGTTCCAGACCAGAAGAAGGAGCACTCCTTGTAGTCTTTGCAGCGCTCCTGGCGAACTGGGAGGCACTGGATCATCCAAATTGGGGTTTCTTAAGTCATGGAGGATCCCCAGTCGTCACCATAGGTTTCAAGTCACTACAGTAAGTCATGGTCCTCCATGACCATGAATAATTTTGGGTTACCCCCATGACTTAGGAAACCTCCAAATATGAATTCTCCGTTGTAATCCCATTCAATCACCATCTAAATCACCACTGAATCAGCATTAAATCACCATCTAAATTACCACTGAATCAGCATTAAATCAACATCTAAATCAACCAACAAACATCAACAAACACCACATCACTTTTGCTGTCCTCGCAATCTGCCGGTTCCATCGACTCGGCCTCTGATTGGAAGTGGATTCCTTTGGCTCCCTTCAGCAGCTGCCGTGAAGGACACGCAAACTGGCCTGGCCGAGATCCAGGATGATCCAGGTAGGCTGTGTTGAATTCTTTAAGAGATCAATGGATCAATGACCAATAGTAATCAACAAAATTCTCACTGCTCTACTCACTACAGTATGGGAGGAGAATATATAGTTAATAATAGTCAATATTACCTGCTCTTGCTCCCATACTATTCACTCTTTAAACATGGGGCCCAGCCTGAGACGATGGAGAAGGGTTCGGGGATGAAGCTTCCATTGCTGGTGGGTGGGATATTCTCCAGCGCGATGGGATCCGCCGGCCACTCGGTGCCCCACTGCTGTGGCAGGCAGTCGCAGGGGTGCAGCCAGAAGTCGTTGGGCTGCGACGTGCTCGGGTCGTCGAAGACCAAGGATTGCAAGGCCTCCTGGAAGGCCGTCGGGAATCCAAGGGCGAAATCCTTCAATGACAATGGGAACAATCTATGGGTGAAGAATGAAGAAGGATCAAATGGATTCAAATGGATTCAAATGGGTCATGTTTCAATGAAAACTGACAATTCGGAACAAGAAAAGGATAGGACCGGATAGGATGATAAAGATGTTTTGTTGTCTGTTGGCCCCTCAAAACGGATGCCATCTTTGACAATACCAATCCCATCCCCCGGTCGCTTTTTGCCATGGCTTCTGGGGGGAGAATTCAATAGGAACTTGACCATTCTCTTCGGAGACCTTTCTTTGAGGCCCCAACCCCAACAAAGTTGCTGGATCTCAGTTGAAAGACCTCCTCTGAAATCTAGCGATGGGAAATATGTAGTTCCCCACATCTTTGTGTGGGGTTCTTGTTTTTGATTCTGTATCCCGGGCTCCTCCTTCTCCTCCTCCTCCTCCCGCCCTCCTCCACACACACTACACACAAACTTCACAGACAATAACTTCACACACACAAACTTAACATAACATACATAACACACACACACATAACTTCCTTAATAACATACAATAACTTCACATACACAAAGTTAACACACACACACACACTTACACACACACACGCACACGCACACACACACACACACGCACACACACACACAACCTGACATCCACCCTCGTTTCACGTGGCACGCGTGGCACAAAACTCGCATCCACCGTCGTTTTGCGTGGCAGGCGTGGCACTCATGGTACTGGGTGGTGCGCTTGGTCCGGATTTGTCGCCTGTGACGCCGCGGCACTTTGCGTGGCAGGCGTGGCACTTGGTGACATCCACCCTCGTTTCACGTGGCAGGCGTGGCACAAAACTCGCATCCACCGTCGTTTTGCGTGGCAGGCGTGGCACTCATGGTACTGGGTGGCGCGCTTGGTCCGGATTTGTTTGCGTGGCAGGCGTGGCACTTGGTGACATCCACCCTCGTTTCACGTGGCAGGCGTGGCACAAAACTCGCATCCACCGTCGTTTTGCGTGGCAGGCGTGGCACTCATGGGACTGGGTGGCGCGCTTGGTCCGGATTTGTCGCCTGTGACGCCGCGGCACTTTGCGTGGCAGGCGTGGCACTTGGTGACATCCACCTTCGTTTCACGTGGCAGGCGTGGCACAAAACTCGCATCCACCGTCGTTTTGCGTGGCAGGCGTGGCACTCATGGTACTGAGTGGCGCGCTTGGTCCGGATTTGTCGCCTGTGACGCCGCGGCACTTTGCGTGGCAGGCGTGGCACTTGGTGACATCCACCTTCGTTTCACGCGGCAGGCGTGGCACAAACTCGCATCCACCGTCATTTTGCGTGGCAGGCGTGGCACTCATGGTACTGGGTGGCGCGCTTGGTCCGGATTTGTCGCCTGTGACGCCGCGGCACTTTGCGTGGCAGGCATGGCACTTGGTGACATCCACCCTCGTTTCACGTGGCAGGCGTGGCACAAACTCGCATCCACCGTCGTTTTGCGTGGCAGGCGTGGCACTCATGGTACTGGGTGGCGCGCTTGGTCCGGATTTGTCACCTGTGACGCCGCGGCACTTTGCGTGGCAGGCGTGGCACTTGGTGACATCCACCTTCATTTCACGTGGCAGGCGTGGCACAAAACTCGCATCCACCGTCGTTTTGCGTGGCAAGCGTGGCACTCATGGTACTGGGTGGCGCGCTTGGTCCGGATTTGTCGCCTGTGACGCCGCGGCACTTTGCGTGGCAGGCGTGGCACTTGGTGACATCCACCTTCGTTTCACGTGGCACGCGTGGCACAAACCTCACACACACACACACATACACACACACACGCACACACACACAGATAAACACGCACACACAGACAAACACAAACACACACACACACGCGCGCACACATACACGCCCACGCACACACACACACACACCCACACACACACACATCATCCAAACGCCAGTCGTGGGCCATCCGTTTTCGTGATGGTCTGCGCTGTACGTTTGCGGACACATAATCAATGGTCACGCATCGATTGCCCTGCGCCGCACTTCCTGGCGTGGGGCATCTTTGATCGTGGCCGCACACCACACACACATACTCGCACACACACACACACGCACACCCACACACCTCACCCACAAACACAACTCATCCGTACACAACTTACTCACACATACTCGTCCACACATAACTTACTCCACACCAATCCTTCACCATCTCTTTTCTCTTTCTTGCTTACCCCATGCCGTCTTTGCCTTTCTTTTGTTGCTTGTTGGAAGAAGTTGACTTGTGGGGTTATCCGGTCCTTTAATTTTTTTGTGTAGAGTTGTAGAGTACCTCCTGTGTATAGATGGTCTCCATTCATAGACATGACAAATATCGGGGGTTTTCCGTTGCCATCTTTGCCAGAGGATACCCCCTTAAACTGGTCGGGTCCAACGGGAAACACAGCTCGGCTTGGCTCCAGCGCCAGTCCTCCTCTGCTTCTGGAAACAAAGGTCGTGCACAAGGCAAGGTGGCCAAATCCAACTTGATATCTGACGCACTGCTTGGAAGCCTTCCCTCAATGCAGACTTGTTGTGCACCTGATCCAATCAACGGCAAAAAACATCTGTGCAAGTTCGCAGGGGAATTTTGGGATCTTTTTTTTGAAGCACTTGGGCTTGGATCATTCCTATACAGTATATGAAAATAATCCCAACAGCAACGTTCACAACATGTCATTGCTCTGGCCTTTCAGTTCAAAGTACCCCAGCTGGGCATCCACGTAATCGTCATCGCTGGCCCTCTGCACCAACCATTTGCCAGCACCACAAGTGGAGCTTCCAGCCGAAGTCGTCAAGTACATCACCTCAAGATGGGTCAATTTTTGCCCATCTGATGACGCCACAGATTGAAATGCAAAAATGTTTAGAACATTCACCAATATATTAACACATCTTGGTAATATCATATATATATATACACATTATATATAAATATATATGTACATCATATATATATATATACACATCATATATATATATATATATCATATATATATATATATGTATCATATATATCATATGTGTGTTCCTTGGATATCTGGCCCCCATGACTTGACCCATTTCACCCCCACCTCCTGCGGAATGGAACTCTCCTTCTTGTAGACCACCAGTCGCGTGGGCGTCTTCGCTGGGGGACCGAAGAACTTGCAATCAGCCTCACCATGGACGATCTTGAAATGCCTCGTGCGCGGTTAACAGAGGATCACCCCATTGGTTCGTGGTTACTCACCATAGCTAGATATAGTTTATATAGTTCACCCATGGAAAATATGTGGTGACTCATGAAATGATACTAAATGTTACTAACCAAAGTGATTCAATGTTGTTAACCCATTTATAGATGAAATAAATTGAAATAAGCCACATACATATGTACATATTGTGTCTTTCTCATGGCCTGTAACAATAGCACAATTTAGGGCACGATTTGGCGCACAGAAACGCAGAAAAAAACACGATATGGGGCACGAAGAAAGGCAAACAAGAGCACGATTTGGTGCACGAAGAAATAAACAAAACATGTGCTGGGGGTGCTGCATGAGGAAATGCAAAAAACAAGTTTTTCTGGTGCAAAAAATGACGCATAAATTGTAGTTTTTCGGTTTCAAATAGCCAAAAAAAAACACAATTTGAAGCACCATTTGGAGCATCTTTTTTCCAATCCAGAGGTTGGCGCTGTGACAACCAGAAATTGCTACAGTTGAGCTGGATCGACGGGCTTTGTAGTCCAAAGTTTCCCACGCGTTCCCAAAATGACTTATATAATCCTTTTGTGAAAAAGTCGTGAATTCATGGTGCACCATTTATGGGTCGTGTTTAGTAAGAAACCCTTTTACTGACTGTTACAGCTCAAGGGCAATTTACAACGTACATATATAGACGAGTATGCGATATGTACACTACAATGTACACGATGTGTGCAGTACACCCTTGCTATCACCTTTCAAAAATCACTTCAGCATCAGCTTTCACCCAGACCCTCACCCCGGACCCCCCCCCGGCTCCTCACTTTGAAATTCTTTTCTCGGCCATAGAACTGCACCACACTGTTCCCGGCCGGCGCCGTCACCTCGGGCGAGTCGGCCGACGACCAGCCCCAGTCGGAGGTCTGTCCCGTGTGCCACGCGAGGCGGGAGCCGGTGCCCTTGATCTGCACCCACATGGAATCGGAGGCACCGTCCGGGCCAATCATCTCAGCCTTGAATTTCAACTTCGTCTCCTAGCGAAATTTTGTTGAAATATGTTGAAATATGTTGAAATGGATGAGTCACTGGTTGATAAAGGTTGATAAAGGTTGATAAAGGTTGATAAAGGCACCCATCCCGAAATTCCCAAACGTCTTGATCAGTTTGGGGGTATTGTCTTCCTAATCTGCCTAGGTTTGGGTAGAGTTGCAAAACATCTGAACCGACAAAGACTGAGGATCTGAAAGGTTCAGGAAGTGCAGTGGGATCAGTGCAGCACCATGAAAGTGGGATCAGTGCAGTTCAAAACCAAATGCAACCCCCCTTGCAACTTGGTAAAAAATGCATGGTGTCACTTCAACTGTGTCCAGTTCTACAAGTACTCTAGCCAGCAGAAGAAAACGGCACTGACATCCTCCGTCCTTGGAGCATTTCAGATTGAATTCCAACACGCCGCAGGTGAACTGATCTGCTCCGTAACAGACATCAGGTCCAGGTTGCAGGATGTAGTCGCCTGCAGCAGGAGATGTGACTTGCGGAATAGACCACACAATTTCAATAGCCGCTTCAAGAACCTACATAAATTGGTGGTACCTACCACATCCCACCACCATATATAAGGTCTAAGGGCTAAATTTCAGGAGATATACCCCCCAACTCCAAAAATGCTACAGCGGCTCTAGCAGTGTAGCTCCATGTTAGGATGAATTCCCACTGTAAATAATGGGATTATCATGGGATTATAATGGATAAACCATCTACCAACCCTTCCATATCTTCCATCTAAACCGGCCTTGGGTGGTCAACTGCCCAGACATCAGCACGCTGTCCTGCGCACGGATCTGCGTCACCTTTCTGGAAATCTCCAGCCCAGGTGGGACTGCCTGACAGCGACCAGAGCGACCGGCGTCACACACCAAGGAAAAGACCTGAGATATATCACCTGAGATATATCACCAGTGCCTGAGATATTTTGGTTGACAGAAATGGGGATGAAGTCAACCAAAATGACATTGGCTTATCCAATGTAAGGCACATTGCCACCAGTCCATCACAGAATTCGACGATGAGAAAAACATCGGGCGCAACGGGGGGCGCAACTGGTTTTGGTGAACTGGAGCTATCCTACTTGCATTTTGTGGTTGTGATGTAGTTTAAAACTGGTGTGTTGTTCAACGTGAAGAGCATCTCGTTTGCAAGTATGATGTTCGAAAAGGGGTTGAAACAAGCTCCTAGTCAGAAATTGTCTCCTCCAATTAACTCCGATCACGAGGTGTCTCCGGTTTTGGGTCGATATGATTGTCATGTGAATCTAGAGGCTAAACAAATTATTGAGATGATATGATAAATGATGTTGTCATTGATAGGTGAAATATGGTGAAATTTTCTAGGTGATTATCACCAGTTCCTCGTAGTCATATCACCAGTTCACCCGTTTCACCACCGAAAAGATGCAGTGCTGCAGGAGAGATCCCGATGCGAAAATAGGATGAAAATGTCATGACTAAAATCATCCCAAATCTATCCAAGGTCATCAAAATGTATCTCTAAGTTCTATCTGAAAATCAATCTAAAGCATCTAAAAAAAAAACATGTGTTCATGTGTTTAATATTGTTTAATCATCTAAAAGTGTTGTTGTTCCTTGTGGCGTTCTATTTCCATCACCCGAAAATCCATGGCGCCTGAAAGCCGATGGGGCAGTAGTCACCTGCAAGGACCTGCCACCAAGGTGCTGAAAAATGGCCAGGTAGCCATTCCAAAATGAGTGGTTTATGGCATTGTAACCAACCAATTAAATGGGAATATCAATGGGAATATCAACTGGAATATCAATGAGAATATCAACTGGAATATCAATGAGAATATCAACTGGAATATCAATGAGAATTATCATGAAATATCACCACATGTTCCCTATTGATTCCCATTTGGCTATGGGTCAATAGCTATAGATACATTACTATAGTGGGTTATTCACATCCATAAATCCCAGCTATGACTTGGGGTTCACAAAAGGTACCAGGGTTTTGACCCATCCCCATATCATGAAAATATCAACTGGAATATCAATGGGAATCCATCAGTTCCATCATGAAAATCCATGGAAAAATTCATGGAAAATATGGAGGCTTCCAAAGTCACGGGGGTACCCGCAGTTAGCAGATTCCCCAACCAAACCCTTGGAGGAGATGCCAAGCTTCTCAATGTGGGATACCACCAATATGGAGGTTTCCATGGGCCATACCCAAATAGCTGGATGGTTTTTCTTGTGGAAAATATGAAAATAAATGGATGATGTGGGGGTACCCCCATGACTTAGGAAACCCCTATATATATATTATGTATATATACATATATATATATATAACCATAGGGAAATGATCATAACCAGTTCCACACGGTGGAATTTTGTTCCCAGTTCCACTGTTCCACTCAGCCCCTGACCCACTGGGGATGGGCCAGCCGGAGGCAGGTGCCCAGGTCTGTGCAGCTGGTGACTTTGGCATAGGCCGTCACAGGGGAGCCCCCCTCGTTCTCCACGCGGTAGTGCTTGCACTTGTCCTGGGCTACACTTGGGAGAAAATGGGGTCTGAAAATGGGCTACCCCCGAAAATTCATGGTTCATCGTCATGGCTACCCCAAAATTAAGCCATCTGATTCATCTCATCATCTGGCAATTCTATGCACCATTCTTAGACACGCCTGTGAAAACAATGTCAAGATGTGTCAAGATGTGTCAGCCGCAGTCCTGGCTCCAGGTGAAATGAGAGCAACGTTTTGAGAGTCGACACTTGTTCCTGCAGACCGCCTCTGTCAGTACAGTCGACTCCTCGATGACTTTGCCCTGGAACGTCTCAGAGATCCAGCACATGCTGTCCTGGTGGCATAGAACTTATGGGGGTTTGTTGGAAGCCATCCAGCTTTGTGTTTGAAAATTCCGTGTCCGATTCTCCATCGGCATCAACAAACTACTCAAGTTGTGTCCCAAGGTGTCCCAAGTTTGCCCCCTGCCTTGATGCGGATCAGCATCGTCGTGCGCAAATCTGGGAAGTCGGAGCCAGGGAAGGAGCCCCAGATGCCGCAGTTCAGCAGGATGGATTTTCGCTGCAAGTTGTCTGCAAGGATCTCATCAAACAACTTGGCCATCGACTCCCCTGGTGCGATGCTTATGGCACCATCCGGCTGCACCTCCAAAATGCTGTGAGATCCCAGCAAGCCAACACCCCAATTGGAATCAAAGGACCAACTTGGGGCAGACCTTGTTCCAGCCCAATCTCCATCTACGAAGCACCTCACATCCCAAGAACTTGGCTTGAGACCACCGGTTCCTTCCTCATACCCGGATGGAACTTTGGGTTTCATCGGTGCCAGTTCTTCTCCAAGCACCACTTCCACATAGCTGCTTTCAAAGCTAAGTGTTGGCCACGGTTTTGGCTTCAACGCTACAAAGGTGGTGCTTCGTTTTTGAAATTCATCTCCAGCCTGTTGCTTGGCTGAGACCACACAAACGGATCCATCAATGCCCACAAAGTCTCCATCAGGCGTCTCCGTGTCCGTCACAGCACCACCTGAAGTGCTTGATGAAGTGGAGACAGCACCTGAGCTTGCGATGCTAAGCCAGGGAGCTTCTGGCGCGCAGACCATGCCGAAGTCAGTCCAGTCTGCCGCAGCTGAACCCAGTGCAACTGGATACGATGTGACACCTGAAGAGAAAATCAAAGCACCTGCGCCATAGGACATGAACTCCACAGTGACACTCACTTTCACGGTCGACACCAAATGCAATGCCTGGTGGGCTGACACCTCACATTGCACGGTGAAGGGTTTGGTTGGGTTCTGAGTGGAGGTGATGGCTCCAGTTGCCCCATCAATGGTGAGATTGTGGGCTGCAAAGCCGCAACCCGAATCCACAGAATACCTCTCAGCAGTGCGCGGCAGCGGTTTCAATGATACCGCGGCTCCAACTGCAAAGCGGGTGTCTGGGTAAGTGAAAGGCGTGGCACTCTTCTCGCCGCCATTGCATTGACAGCAAGCTTGGTTGCTGCTTAGACCATTTACTGGTCGGTCATTGCAATCAGCAGCCGGGATGGCATCACAGGTGTCCCCCAACTCATTGGTCCACCCCACCGTGGAAATGCACGCCGTGCACTTCCCATCTTTCAACAGGAAGCCGCCCACGCACTTGGCACACTGCCCAGACGCATACTTCATGCAGCCGCCACAGGACAAGGAGTCCATGGGACAACAAGTCGTCTCTGACGAGGTGACTTTATGCTGGACCAAGGTGATGCCTGAGCAGCTGGCATTGCTTCGAATCCTTGGTTTCCACCAATTCAAAGAGCTCGAACTGATACCAAGGAGACCAAACAGAATCACAAAAAAAAAAGCGGCCGGATGATTGACCATCAGCCGCAAATCAGCCATTTTTCTCACGATCTATCAGGATTTTGAAGATGCCAGAATGTGCCACCGAAAATAGGGTCGATCATGGTGGTTTCCAACCTTCAAAATAGGTGGCTAATGGAATCACAGAGATAGGTGTTGACTCACAGATCTTGACACATCCTGCCCAAAAAGCGTGACAGCCATGAGTCATGGTGGTTTCCTTCAAAACTTCAAGCTTATTCGCCACATAGGCCGAAGGCTGCGCATGTAAAGCTTTGGGTCGACAATGCGCAGCCAGCCCGGAGCGGTTGAATGTGACCGAAGCACCTGCCCAGGGGCCCAGGTGCCGATGGAGCCCCTGGTAAACTAACAGTTTGCGAACTGGAGAATCACCATTTTTGATGGGTAAATCAAGGAACTAAATGGCCATGTTCAATGGCAAACTGTTAAATTACTTGAAATTACCAGAAAGTATCTCTATTTACTGATGGATGATCTATTCACTTTTCAATGGTGATGAATGGTGATGATCTATTCAAAAGTTATTTGTTTAATACCCCGTTCTTATTCATGGATTTACTGATGTCAAGATGCAAACCATCTGATTTTGGGGTTCCATATGTCCCACTGCAGGAACCATCGTGATCACAAAGTGGGACGGCCCCCTGGGCCACAGAATCCCAATTCGAAGCCAGCGGCACGTGAAGTTCTGACGTGTTTTGTAGTTGTATTCATGTCTTTTCATGTCTTTTCATGTGTTTTTCATATGTTTTTTTTTGTGTTTGGCTTTTCTCTGGTTGGCTTCAAAACTGTCATGTTACGAATTCCAAAAAGCTTCGAGAGTCCACAAATCTGCGGTTCCAAAAAGGTCCCAAAAATCCAACAGCTCGGCAAATCATAGGGATCAGCGGCAAATCTTTCCACCTCCACCCGCACCTGAACCAAGAAAGTCCAGGTCAGGGCCAAACCTTGGTTTTCGACCAAGGCTCCCAGGGATGACCATGGAGAATGGAGAAAAATTGCGAAA